GTGGATGGACCAAAGCAGAGGTGTGGTTTGTGATGTAAGGTGTTATTAAAAGTCAAGGAAAAGATTCAAATTGTTTAAGAACAGACAGAAAGATATCATGGCTAAACCAGACTTCGTGGAGCCACCTCTCCTGTATCTCGCTGTAAAAGTTAAACATGACATTTCTTTTCAGTAAACTTTCTAGTTGACCGAAGCTTGAACTTTAACACACTTACAACTTTGCTCATTGAAGACAGAAAAATCAAGAAATGCATATTAACCTGATTTCTTCTTTGAATGAGGATTAAGGATCATTATTTACTGTTTCACAGTTAATAAAAATGAGTAGTTCACTTCAACATGTAAACATTGTTTGAACTAACACAATTTGATTATCAAACATTTGTAAAATAGTAATGATCATAGAGAATTGTCTTTTCCACTTGATTAATTCAAGAAAGAAAGTCTCAGGATGGGTCAAACTGTATTTCTAGATTCAAATCAATGAAATGACAGTTTCTGTCCATCTGGTCAGTTTTGACATCAGGCCTAGTCCACTACACTTGTGATGGACTGGAGACTTGTCCAGAGTGTCCCCCACCTCTCGCACAGTGACTGCTGCATATGGGCACCAGTGACCCCCGTGATTTGAAAAGGATGAAGCAAGTAAAGATGATGGATAGATGGTTTTGGGGATGTGCTATATTTTTAATGAAAGGAAATATTCAGTTGTACTGTTCAGAAAATGCAAAATAGTAAGAAAAAAAGTGAAAATCCTATTTATGATTTTACCGTTACAAAATCTGTGATTTTGTTTTCATAATACCCACCTTCCCATGGGCTCACCACCTGTTGGAGGGGCCAAAGGGGTCGGGTGCAATGTGGGATGGGTGGTGGCCGAGGGCGGGGACCCTGGCGGTCTGATCCTCGGCTACAGAAGCTGGCTATTGGGATGTGGAATGTCACCTCACTGGTGGGGAAGGAGCCTGAACTGGTGTGTGAGACTGAGAGATTCCGGCTAGAAATAGTCAGACTCACCTCTACACATGGCTCTGGCTCTGGAACCAGTTTCATTGAGAGGGGCTGGACACTCTTCCACTCTAGAGTTGCCCCTGGTGAGAGGTGCCGAGCAGGAATGGGCATACTTGTTGCCCCC